TTGATTGGGGGGCCGCCGCAGACGGCAAGGAGGGTGGGTGTGCAGAGGAGGTGGGGATGGGACAGGAGGAGGAGGGAGGAGGGGAGACACACGTGGGGTGGGTGAGAGCAGAGGTGAGGGGAGGAGGAAGGAGACAGAGGGGGCGGAGAAGGGCAGGGGCGGGAGAGAGATTGAACGTGAGAATTAGCATTCTTAGGCCAAGGTCTCTGGAGCCCACACAGTTGGCATTTGGTGCCGGGGCGTTCTCTGTGGTGGGGGCTGCCCTGTGCACTGTGGGGTGCTGAGGTGCACCCCTGCGATCTACCTCTGGATGTCAGCGCCCCCACCATCGCTGTGACATCGTCTCAGCTCCCTAGGCGGCCAGCACAAGAGAACAAGTGGGTTAGAACCAACCCGGGGGTTAGAACCGTCTGTCCCTGGGGCGAGGCTCTGTCTGCAGGTCCACTTTTCAGGGGTCCCGTTGTGCCTGTCTGTCTGTCTCTGACTCTATCCCCGACACACCCCACGCTCGCCACACTCTGACAAGTGCCAGACGGGAGCCAGCAGCCACAGGTGAAGCTTCAGGAGAGCTCCGCCACGGGCCAGCTGCCGGAGACGGAGAAACTAGCCCCCTGCCTCAGTTGCCCCACCTGCAAAATGGGCGTCGCTGTCCTTACGACTGGGCAGCTGGGAGGAGGAAAGGAGTCAGTAGGTATAAGAGCTTCGAACAATGCCGGGCAGATCGCAGGGACCACGCAGGAAACTGGATGACGTATTGTTCGGGGCAAATCTGCTGCAGAAGGTTCAAGAGCGGAGACGCGGCTTCGAGGACTGAGGTGCGCCCGACCCAAGACACGGAATTTTCAGCCGCCTCCTGTGCATGTGGGAGCTGGGGGACTGCGGAATGAAGCCTCTGAACTGTGGAATTTTCAGCCGCCTCCTGTGCATGTGGGAGCTGGGGGACTGCGGAATGAAGCCTCTGAACTGTGGGGTTGGCGGAGAGCGTCGAATACGCCACGGACTGACAGGACGGCCAAGTGCGTCCTGGAGGAAGGACAGCCGCAAGGCTCCTTCGAAGTCAGGATGGTGCGACTTTGGGCGTGTTCTCAGGCGGGACCGGTCCCTGGGGAAGGCCATCCTCTTGGTCGAGCACGGTCAGCTAACAAGAGGCAGCCCCTGAATGAGACGGACGGACGCAGCGGCTGTGGCGGTGGCCCGAGTGCACCGAGGACTGTGGGACCAGGCGGCGTTTGGTTCTGTCGTGCACGGGGTCGCCGTGAGTCGGGGCTGACTCAACGGCCCCTGAAAACAACCCCCACGACGGTGCTGGCCGCGGTTGTTCTTTTGGAGAGAGACGGGATGAGAAGGGACAACAGGATGAGAAGGCAGCAGGAGGAGGCTGGATGGTGGGGTCCGCCCAGCTGTTGCCACAGCAACAGGCAGACCTGGTCCCAGACACGCCCACCCCACAGGACACAGAACGATGGCGGGGGTGGGGTGGGGTGCATATCTGGCGTAGGGTTCAGGGAAGGGGGCGGTCTGAGCTCCGCCCCAGGCCAGCCCATGACGGGCGCTGGGACCCACGGCCTGGGGGGCTCAGGCAAGCAGCTGCCAGTCTCTGAGCATCACTCTCCAGCCCCGGAAACAAGGGTCTGACCGTCCTAGGCTTGGAGAGCCCCGCGGCTTGCAGAGCGCGCGAGCCCATAACCCCTCCGTCAGCATTCACGTCGCCTTCCCTACGTCAAGCATCCATGCTGGGGAGATGTCAGTGGCGCTTCGAGACTGAGAGGCTATGGGGAAAGGCCTGGCCGTCTGTTTCCAGAAACCAGCTGCTGGAAACCTGATGGTTCACAGCAGACCAAGGTGCAACCGGCCGTGGGCCTGGAGCAGGACCGGCAGTGTGTCTGTCTGCCGCGCATGGGCTCCCACGAGTAGGGGCCTGACTTGACACCCTCTCTGTCTGCCACGTCACGAGTCTAGGTGCTGGTGGACTGTCTCCCCCCCACTAGACCATAAACTCCACGAAGGCAGATGCGCTTGTGTGTCTTGTTCACGATTGTATCCACATCACCCAGGATGAGTACCCGGCACACAGCAGGGGCTCCAGAAACATTCACTGTGCGGATGAAGGATGAGGGAGGGGTGTGAGAGGCGGGTCTTCTCACTCCCTGTGTCTCGCACACATGCACGTAGTTCAGGTGAAGACACAGAGGTCCATCATCAACCCAAGTCCTGCAACACCCACGTCCAAGCACCTGTACAACACAGATGTCTTTCTCCCACACTGAGACATGTGCATCCAGACACACACAGACGGGGCCAGAGTGACACACGTAGGGGGGATGTGGGTCCTTCATTCACTGAGGGCTGGCGGTGTGGTTGGACAGGCTGCACACTGCACCAGGGGGTCGGACAGAGAGGCTGAGTGAGGGCTGACGCCCAGCCTAGCTCTTCTCCCCAAGGTGTGTGCCTCTGGGAGGCAGGGGTGCCCTTTGCAGGCTCACACAGGGGTGTCGTCGGGGAGCCCAGCAGACACACGGGAGCCGCCTCAGGAGGGGGTCGCTTTCCATGCTCTCCTGCCCACTCCCTGCTCTGTGCCAAGTCCACTCTTTGTCCCTTTGCTGAAAGACCCTGTGGTGTCCTGTAACTGCACACTCACAGCCCTAGGCCAATGACAACTCCATGGTGGTGAGGACAGCAGCACCCTAAAAACCCCATGGTGCCCCCAGGCACAGGGTTGCAAGCTCTTGGTCCCCCGACCGACGAAGGGACCTCCAGCCTCCTGCCCCGCGCCTCACTCAGACACACCCCTTCTGAGCTATGGCTACACGTACAGGTGGGAATAGGGCTCACAACTTCCAACAAAGTGGCCCATCCAGACACAAGGACACGTAGGATACATTCTTCCCTTACATCACACAGAACTACTCGTGGACACACACAGCGTTTACATGCACATGACGATGCAGAAGACACCTGACTGGGTCCCACACAACACACAAGGACACACATGTGGTCCTGATGCCAGACTTGTAGCCTTCTCCCAGCACATACATGCACACACACATGTGCACACTCACCCACGTATGTGCACACACATGCGGGTACATGTGAACACACACAACCACACATACAACATAGGTACACATGTGTGAGCACATACGCACCCATTCACACACACGGGTGCACACACATAATGGTGCACACATGCATGGGCACACACACGAACACATATGCACACATCCACATGTGCACACATGCAAGGGCACACACATGCACACACTTCCGCACACATGCACATGGGTATACACATGCATACTGGCACACAATGCATGAATGCACATACACATGTGCGCACATGTACGCACACATGGACACATACGCATGCACAGACATGGGCATGCACATATATGTGCATACACACATGCGCACACAGGTACATACATGTACACAGAGTTACTGGTTGAACTATGTCCCAAAAAACATATGTTAAAGTGCTAACCCTGGTCCTAATGAATATGAGTTTGTTTGCAAATAGGGTCTTGGAAGATGTTATCAGTCACCACAAATTTATACTGGAGTTAAAAAACAAAACAAAACAACTAAACCTGTTGCTGTTGAGTCGATTCTGACCGTGGTGACCCTACAGGATAGAGAACTGTTCCGAAGGGTTCCCAGGGCTGTCAGCCTTATGGAAGTAGACTGCCACATCTCCCATGGAGCACCTGGTGAGTTCAAACCGCCAACCCTCTGCTTAGCAGCCGAGTGTTTAACAACAGTGTTTCCAGGGCTCCTCATACAGGGTTGGTGAGTCCTTACACATGACTGTGTCCTCACACAGAGAAAGAGACCAGAGACCCAGAGGGAACACAGTTGTGCGGAGACAGAGGCAGACACTGCGGGAGTGATGCAGCTACGAGCCCAGGAACGCCAAGGGGCGCCGGCGACACAGCTGCCGGGACAGAGGCGGGCAGCAGACACCCCTTCCGAGCTCTCAGAAGGAATCCACGTGGCTGACCGTGAGCGGGCCTTCCAGTGTCCAGACCCGAGCTGTGGTCCTTCCAGTCACCTCGTTGGCACAGAAAAGCCAGACAAGGAGCAAGGAAGACAGAGGGTCACATTGTCGGGACATCAGGTAAACCAAGGACTGCCCAAAGAGCAAACCCATCTGCCTGAGAGAAATACTGCCAGAGGCACCGGAGAGGCAGGAAGGCGGGACAGCAGTCCACTTACTCTGGACACGTCCTCAGGAAGACCAATCGCCCACAGAGGACATTGAGGTTAGTAAGGTGCAGGGTCAGCGAAACGAGGGAGACCCTCCCTGAGATGGGCAGACACACAGCCTAACAGTGGACCCCAACACATCCACCATCACGAAGACGGCGCAGAGGCAACGTTCTGTTCTGTTGTGTGAGGTCGCCGTGAACGGGAACTGACTGGACAGCAGCCTCCACAACTGAGGGAGACAGCATTCCTGACATTCGAGCCGCCCCCCGTGCGGCACTCGTCCCAGCAGCCTCAGGAAACTAACACGCACGTGCACACACAGTCACACACAGCTCCGCAGGGACAGACACACACACTCACACATGGCCAGCTCCACACACACAGATTCACACACACGGCCAGCTCCACACGGACAAACACACACACACACCGCTCCACAGGGACACACACTCTCACACACAGCTCCACAGGGACACACACACACAGCTGCACAGAGACACACACAGCTCCACAAGGACACACACTCACACATGGTCAACACTTACACACAGCCAGCTCCACAGGGACACACACACACATCTCCACACCATACAGACACACATTCACACACACAGCTCCACATGACACAAACTCACACACTCCACATGGACACATGCACTCACACACAGTTCCAGCTGGACACACACTTCACACGGACACATGCACTCATACTGCTCCACAGGGACACATATATTCAAACACAGCTCCACAGGGACACACGCACTCACACACACAGCTACACAGGGACATACACACAGCTCCACAGGGACACACGCACACACACAGCTGCACACGGACACATGCACTCACACACACACTCCACACAGACACACACACTCACACAGCTACAGCTGCACAGGGACACACACACAGCTCCACAGAGATACACACTCACACACACAATCCACATGCACGCACACACACTCCATATGGACACACACACACACAGCTCCACGGGACACATGTACACACTCACAGCTCCACAGGGGCACACAACTGGGCATCGTTTTGCACATTTCTGCACAGCATATAAGGCTCAGACATTGTGAGCCCGGGACCATTCACAGACGGGACTAAGTGTGGTCCAGGAACGCACCTGGCACTTACCCACCCAGTGAGGGGGAGAGGGGAACAGAGTGTGGGGTCAGGGGAGCACATGGACACACGATCACAGCCCTGACTTCCGGGCCCACAACCGTATGTCTGTACATGCACACGCGTGTGCACATCCCCCCACCCTGCAGTGGAGTTTGCGAGCAGGCATGTGACACCCCCACCTCCAGACAGACACCAAGATGCAGCCCTGCCCCCAGCCCCTCACACACAGAGGCTCTCTCCTCCTCCACAGTTGGGGTGAAGGGGGCCCAGAGATCCTGTCTCCCCGCTCCCCAAACCCTACATGCCGGCCAGCACAGGCCCAGTGGTCTGGCCTCCCCCCGGCCCAGGACCTGGGAGAC